TCTTTCAGTGCAGGTTTGCTAATGACTAATTTCTCTGTTTTTTTCTATCTAAAAATGTCTTTGCTTTGCCTTTTTTCTGAAGAATATTTCCACTGGTTGTACAATTATAGCTTGGAAATTATTTTCTTTCAGCTCTTTAAATAAATAGGTTCACTTTTTTCTGGTTTTTTAAAGTCAGTTCTAAGTGTTATTATTGCTCCCCTGAAGTAATGTCTTTTTTCCACTGACTGCTTATAAGACAATTTCTTTTAGTTTTCAACAATCTAAATAAGATGTGCCTAGACGTGGTTTTCTTGTATTTATCCTTTTTGGGGTTTGCAGAATTTCTTGAATCTGTGGGTGGTTGTCATTAATCAGTTTTTAGAAAATCCTTAGCCATCATCTTTTTATATTTTGCCTCCACCCCATTCTCTCTCTCCTCCCCTTTTGAAATTCCAGTTATGTGTATTTAGACCTTTTCATGTGTTTTACATGTTATTGTCTTTTTTGTATTTTTTATGATTTTTTGGTCTGTGACCTTCTGTTAGAATATTTTCTATTGCCTTGTTTTTTGTTTTTCCAGTCCTATCTTCTGATATGTATAATGAGTTCTTAATTTCAGTGATCTTGTATTTCAATTATAGAATTTCCGTTTGATTCCTCTTATAATAGATAACATTTTCTGGTACAATTTTTCATCTTTTTAAATTTTTCTTGAAGAAATTAGTCATAGTTATATATAGTCTTATCTGTTAAGGCCAATATATTGTTAACACCACAACATATTTTTCTTCTTGGTTTTCAGTCCTATTGTCCTGTCTCAGAATGCCAAGTAAGTTTTTACTGAGTGCAAGACATAGAATATTGGTGAGGTTCCAGATGATATTATATTACTCCAGAAAAGGTTCATCCCTTTTTCTGCTTAGCAGATAAATGAGGGCAGATCACCTTACTTCAGTCAGAGACTAAACTGAATTGGGGCTGGGTTGCAATGTTGGTAGGCTTCCCTCTGATTTGCCCCTGCTACTAAGGTGTAGTCATTCAGGACTTCCAGCTAAAAGTCGTCTGGTAAGTTAAGTTCCCCTGGCAAGGCTTAAACTCTAATCCGTGTCTTCTTAGCCTGGTAAAACTGCCAAAATCTCCACTTTGCCATCCGGAGGCTTTCTGCTTAGCTTCTTAACTGCCTTCCCCATGGAGCTTCAGAAATTTCAGATATCCTGAAGGGGAAACTGACTGTGTCAGGCTCAATCGTTGGCTCTTCCTCTTGTCACCTAGATCTTGTTCCTTTTATTTCCAATTTTGTCTTTATACC